GGGAGTCCTGCCTGATTCACCCCCAACAACACTGGGTTTCACAGGCCCTGTCCTTGAGGTACTACCTCTCAGGACCCTCCTGGGCTGATAGAGACAATCAATGCAACCCCAAATCTGCATCAAAGAGAAAGGCATAGAAGGAAGATTCTGGAGTGAGCCTCTGCCATGATGGGGCCCAGCCCCTCAGCACTGACAGGAGGGAGTCACTCACCCACCCGGGTCTCAGCTCCAGGCACTGGTCAGCTCCAGGGACACCTGCGGCAGGATGAGCTGACACCAGCAAACCGCTGCTTCTGGGTGTGCTTGGCAGGTCACAGTTGCTGCACACTTCTGCCTCTGGGTGTGCTTGGCAGGTCACAGTTGGTGCACATCACTGCCTCTGGGTGTGCTTGGCAGGTCACAGTTGGTGCACATCACTGCCTCTGGATGTGCTTGGCAGGTCACAGTTGGTGCACATCGCTGCTTCTGGGTGTGCTTGGCAGATCACAGTTGGTGCACATCGCTGCCTCTGGGTGTGCTTGGCAGGTCACAGTTGGTGCACATCACTGCCTCTGGGTGTGCTTGGCAGGTCACAGTTGGTGCACAGCCTGGCTCCCACAAGGAGCAGGCCTTATTCCAGGGTCACAGAGAAGATCAAAGTTGGGAGTCCGTCTTCTGACTGTAGCGCTCCCAGCGGCCACCTGTCAAGTGCTGGTGGGGTTCACCTGACTGATCTCAGCATTCTGGCCTCACTGTGGGCTGAGCAAGCAGGTGAGGCTCCTTCCCGGAGCCCTCATATCCTTTACCCAACTCCAAACAGCAGTCATTATCCGGAGAGGAGGGGGCAGCTCAGAGAGCTCACTGCTGCGCCTTTTGGGTTACACTTCCTACAGCCTTTAGACACCCTGTTACCTTGAATGTGACTCCTCAGGAAATAATGGCAGTAGCTAGAAGTCACCACCCTGCTCCCAGCTGGGCCCCAAATGACCACTCCTCACACCAGCTGACGTCAACAGAGCATTTATTCCCCGTGGGTGTCAGTGACCTACGGAAACACCCAGCCTAGATGGCCATTTAGACAGCGTTGCGCAGCCTTGGGGGTCCCTCCTGTCCCACGGCCCCAAGAAGGAATGGGACCTGAAGCCTCCTATGGCCATTATTGCTCACAGCCCAGTAAAACGCCGCCACTGGTGAACTCACAGGCCCTCTGCCGGTTCGCACCTCCCTGCACTGGCCTCCAGCCAATCAGCAAGAACGTGCTGACTGTGGAGCCCAGTCCTGTGCTGGACCCTACTGGGGTTCAAGAAGAAATGGCAGGTCCCTTGCCCTCAGGGAGCTCACAGTCTCTTTGGGGATTGAAGACACACCCACGCACACAAGCACACATGCACACACAGGAAGCTGGAGCAGAAGGCTGCACGCAACACCCCAGGCGAGCTGGCGGATGAACACAGACGCTGTGCAGAGGCAGGAGGGCAGGGGGCTGGGCGGGCAGGGAAGCTGGGCCTGGTGGAGGAGAGGCTCAGCCCTGGGGAGGAGTGGCATGTTTCCGAGCAGTTCCACGGAAGCCAGAGGCAGGAAGGAGGGCACAGTTACCAGCTGGGGGGGCGAGGGGAGAGATCACAATCAACAGGGAAGGCGTGAGTCTTTGAGGGTCCCTCCAAGGTGGCCAAGAATCAGAGCCAGTGGAAGCTCGGAAGCCAGGAGTGCCAGCTCCTTCTCTGACCCCCCAGGACGGTTTGTCATCCCAGAGAAGGCACATGCAGACGCCCCCCCCCCCCCCAGCCCTGACCAAACATGGCCCACCCCTGGGACCTCCCCACCCTAAACCCAACTCCTCTGAGCCACCCACAACTCTTATCACTGGGCTTTGATCTACATTCCTGGACTAAAGGCCCCTCTCCAACCCCAAACGTTTCCCTAAATATTACCAGCTTTGTGACACCTGGTTGTCATCAAAAACCCACCCAGCCCTGGTGGGTCACACCTTTTCTGATGGGCAGTTCACTCTAGGGAGGCCAGTAAACTCGCTCCAGGCTACCTGCTCAGGCATGAAGACCAAGGAGTCTGGCCTGGCATCGCCTGTCCACCTGTTCTGGTGGCCCCTTGGGGCACACGGAAGCTTCTCTGCTGGCCTCTCCTGGCTCAGCGCAGAGCCGGCCCCAGGACGGACGCTGCATCTTCCTCCCTGGCCTTCCCCACACACCTGGCTGAAGCCGAACACCTGGGCATGGCTGCTGCACACAGGATCCCTTCTCTCTGGGGCAGACTCAGCCCCAACTCCTGCCTGCCCAGCGTCCAGGGGAGGTCCAGCTTTCCCACCACCTACATGGTGAGCTCAGAGCCCAGGCCAGGAGCCCAGGGCTGCATGGGGAAGCCAGCAGCCCAGTAGCCAGAGCCAGCAACCCCAAACCAGGGAAGGGCAAGGCCAGCCCAGGGAGCATCCAGCAATGTCTGGGGAAGGGCTGGGGTTCCAGAGCCTGATGCACTGTCTCTTAGGTCTGGAAGAAGAGAGTGACTAACTGGGTTCCCTCCTCAGACTCTTTATTCCTGAACAAGGGAGAAGGGGTGGTGGGGGAGGGGGAAATGCTACTGTATGGTGGACCCTCTGGGTCAGGTAAGGGCAGGGTTAGGTCCTCGGGCTGAGGTTCCAGCCTGGAGTCCAGGAGCTCCTGGTGTTCCTGGTAGATTCTTGTGTCTGTGTGAGTGTGTGTGTTTTCTTGGGGAGAAGGTTCACAACCTTGGCCAGCTTTTCAAAGGGCTTCATGCCCCCAGGTGTGGTAAGAACCTTTGCTGAAAGGCAAGTGAAGCCTGCAGGTATGGTTCACACCCGGAAGGTTGCGCCCCTCTAGAGCCGGGTCTGCTGCCAGTGTGCTGTGTTCTCTTAGGCAGGCGCCTCCCATCTCCGGAGAGCCCGGCAGACACCCCGAAGCCGGCTCTCCACACCGGATGGGCCCTGCTGCCGCACGGAGCGGAGGTCCGTGGCCTGGTGGCCAGGCAGCCAGGACGAGCTCTGCCCCAGCCGTGATTCCCAACGGGTTCAGGGAGTCTTTCCACCAGGGAATGGAACCTGTCTCCAATTCTGGGTTCCACCAGTCCCCTCTGCTGTCACTGTAGGCACCTCCCGAGATCGGTCTTAGGGCACGTGCGTGTCCTCATGTCACGGTGCAGTTGCCCAGGGTCTCCATTCCTAGTTTCTGTGCCCAGATGTGCCTTGCGCACTGCCCCGAGGTCCTGCCCACTCTGCACCTGTTCACAGAGACAGAGCAGGGTCAGGTCTGGGGCCATGATACAGCCCTGCCCAGCCACCTCTCTGGGGCCAGGAGAGGGCAGGCATCTGCGCCACCTGCACCTGTCCACGGACTCAAGGCTCACTCATCCATTTACAGACGAGATGACTTGGCTTTAGGACACTTTAGTGAATGGCCCCAGATGCCCCAGGTCCCAGTTTAATATCTTAATCTCTGCTACTAAATACCAGACCACATTGCCATGGCTACTTAGGGGTGGCAGGCAGAGGGCCAGGGGTCCCTGAGGAGCCACAAAGCTCTAAGGAAGGACAAAAGGCAGGGCCGGGGCTCCAGTACCAAGTGCAGCGCTGGGCATGGAGCCAGGGCTCTGTGAGTGCAGGTCCCCTCCAAGCTTCGCTTCCTTCCTCCCAGCCACCACTGTGGATGCCACGTCCACACCACCCAGTGACGCCCCTGCCCAGGCTCCTGCCACATGGCCCCTGGTCACATTCCCACATCCTCAAAGCTCCATTTTCCCACCAGTAAGAGCCTCTCTAAGGGCGGTGGAATACAGAGGAAGGGTCTTGGGGTCCAGAACACAAAACAGGGCCCAGACTTGCGCTGCTGTCCCATGAAGCACGAAGTGATCTGAGGCAAGCTGGGATGAGCCCCCGTTTCCTCATCTGCCCAATGACTGAAGAAGCCCACGTCTCAGAGCTCCAACTTGGACTCAGAGGCCCTGGGCAGGCCCTGGCTCTGCTCTTTCTCCCTGCATGACCTTGGCCTGGCCTCGTAGCTGAGGGCTTTGTTCTCTGGCTCAGAGGAGCCCAAGGCCCTCAAGGCTCCTGCTGGCCCCACTTGGATCTGTCTGCACAGCGCCTCCAGGTTTGAACTGCACATCTGAGGTCACTGAGCTCTTTTTGGTGTCCCCTCTCCCTGGCCAAAGGAGCAGATATGAGCCTCCACTATCGGACCCTCGCCTCAGAGTCGTCCTTCAACCCTGCTCTCTGTAGGGCACCTCTGTTCATCCCCAGTGACCCGTCACCACCCCTGCACCAGCAGCAGCACTTTACAGCCTGTCCCCTATGCTAGCCCTCATCACCCCATGTGAGCACCAGGTGTGGCAGCTCAGGGGACAAGGCCTGTGTCTGCGCCTCCTCTGGGAGCCCAGCCCAGTGCCTGGCACACCGGGGTAGTCCAAAAGAATCTGGACCATTGGCAGCACCCTCTCATCTAGTAATGGCAATCACCACCCTCACACTGTCCCTCATTCTTAGCCCCAACTTACAGATGAGCAAACTGAGACATGAAGTGAAATGGCTTCTCAAGGACGCCTGTGCTGGAGCCCGGGGACCTGGGCCTGGGGGCTCGGGAGAGTGGCCCTCTCCAGACGGCTTTCCACTCTGACATTCTAGGAATGAATATGTAGTAAGAAGCCGGTCACAGAGACCTAAGACAGCCCGGTATGCCTCACCACCCCCACCTGTCCCCACCCCCAAGCCTGAGAGAGGCTCTGGCCTTGGAGTCTCACCTGCGTGCCCCAGGCCTGGCCAGCCTGAGGGGGGAACCATCGCAGGAGCCCAGAGCAGCCCAGTGCAGCCAGCCCGAGGGCCCTGGGAGAGGAGCAAAGGGAGGCCACAGAGCAGGGCAGAGCCCCACTCCAACGCCCCCAGCCAGTGCTGACTAGCTCCAGGGGTTCCATCCAGAGGGGGGTCCGCAGCCCAGTGCCACCTCCAGGGCTCACGGATGCAGCTGGGGGCAGGAAACTGCCGGCAGCTGGCCGTGCGTGCATCATAGCACGCGGCCTAAATGGGCCGCCTGGCCCTCGGACCCGTGGCCGTGGCTGCGCTGGTGGGTCTTGAGCGAGCCCTCCCGTGCGAAGCTCTTGCCGCAGCGGGCGCAGAAGTAGGGGCGCCGCTCCCCGAAGACGCCCGGGCGGCGCGGGTGCGGCGCGGGCATGCGCGCGTGGGTGCGCTGGTGGTTGAGCAGGAAGCGCGGCTCGCGGAAGCAGCGGCCACACTGCGCGCACTGGTGGGGCTTCTCGCCGCTGTGGATGCGCTGGTGCGTGAGCAGGTTCTGCTTGAGGCTGAAGCAGCGCCCGCACTCGGCGCAGGGGAAGGGCCGCTCGCCCGTGTGGGTGCGCTGGTGCACCTCCAGGTTGTGCTTGACGCTGAAGGCCTTGCCGCACTCGGGGCACACGAAGGTGGCCGCGCGGCCCGCCCCGGCGTGCGCCTTCTGGTGCCGCACCAGGCTGGGCTGCTGCGCGAACGTCTGGCCACACAGCGGACAGCGGTGGGGCTGCTCCTCCGCCGGGTGGTGGATGACCAGGCCTCGCTCGTCCCCCAGACCCTCTTCCCCGTCCCCCGTGGGGGACCCGTCCCGGGAGGACGCCAGCTCGGTCATGGGCACTTCCAGCTGTAATCAGCAGCCCCTGGGGAGGCAGAAGCGGAGAAAGGAGTCAGGGAGGGCCCTAAGAATCAACCAGCCCCAGCCTCAGGAAGGACACTCCCCTGTCCTCACCCAACTTCCAGCATCCGCCCCTTTACAGTCTTGTTCAAGCCTGCGTTCCTCCGCTGGATGCCCTTCTTTCTCTACCCCTTCATCAATCCTGCCCTTCCTTCAGGCCCTTCTGGAGTGCCACCTCCTCCTGAAAGCCTTCTGTGACCCCACGTGGCCCACCCCTGTGACCCTCACTCATCACACTGCATACCTGTCAGTCATGCCACTTTGTCTTCTTGCCTGAGAGGGCCTTAAGGACAGAGCTGACTCCGTCTTTTATCCCAGCACCAAGAACTGTGCCCGCCTTACAAGGCATAGAACAAATGCTGATGGGTTCTATTCGGGGGCTCCTTGTATTGCCAGCACCTGGATATGTCTTATCTCTCCAAGCAGCTTCTCCAGGAGAGGGTAGGGAGGTGCGTCCCCAATCTGGAGGGAAGCGCAGGGGATGGTTTAAAGATAGTTTTTGCAAAGCTGCAACTTGAAAGTAGCCTCAGCCAAACACTACGGCAGCAGCTCTTTGTTTATCAGAATGAAGCAATGCCTGTAAGAGATTGTCTGCCAGTTACAGCGGAGGGCGAGCTCCGGGTGTCCCCGCGCAAAGCCTGGCCTGGCTGAGCAGCGCGCGGTGCTTCCCAAGCACCCCCAAGTTCAGCCCAGTCCATTCATTCTGGTTCTTCTAAGGATCCTTTCCCCCAGGGCACTGTGTTCCTCTTCAGTTGTTTCCCACTGTGCTCACAACAGCCCTGAGGAAGGGGCAGGGCTCACTGAACCCCAATTTACAGATGGAGAAACTGAGGCTCAGGGAGGTCAACTTACTTGCCCAAGGTCACACAGCAAGGTGAGCCAAGACCAGGCCCCCATTTCCTGGCTCACTGTCAAAAGCTCTCAGTGTACAGGCTAGCTGCTCACCAAGTAAAGTCCCCTCAAAATACACATACCATGAGACCACCACCATCATCCCAGCCATCTCGGAGCCATGATCCCCAAAGGGCCACTGCTCCTATAGGGCACTGTCTGCTGCCGCCACCCCCATGTCTCAACAAACCTCGAGCTCCTGCTCCTACAAGGCACTGAGGCCTGCCTGCTCCCCCACTCCCATCGGGGAAGCTTGCTGGGCCTGCCCCCGAGCTCCATGCAGGCCTTCTCCATACTTCCAGATCTCGCTGCTTACTGCAGCCTCAGTCAATCTGCAGAGTGAGGCCTCAAAGATACCTCCTCTGTCTCCCCCTCCCCGCAGGCCAGGATGGAACACACTCACCCTGGAGAAGGGGACAAGTACTACTCGCAACAGGCCCACCCCAGCCACAAGTGTTTCCCAGGGCAGCTGCACTGACATTTGCAGACAGATCATCACAGTCCCCTTGATCAATGTCAGCCTGGCCTTGTCACTGGGCAGTCTCCTCACTCTCCCGGGTTATACCCCTCACCAAGACCCCGCCCACCGAGCACGTCCAAGGCCATGGCCTCCTCCTCTCCCCCAAATTTCTCCATCCCATACCACACTCACAGCCCATGCTGCGCCCCAGTTCCTCGGGTCTCCAGCACTGGCTCTTTCCTCTACAGTCCACGCTGCCCAACGCAAATACGGTAACTCTCCCTCAGCGACTTCCGCGCCCCATCTCCCTTCCCCCCATAAAGACAGCCAGCTTCCCACACTGCTGTTCGTATCAAAGAGTTGCATTAGTCAAAAGAGCTGACCCCACCCATCCGACACCGGCTCCCTTCGAACAACCTTGCCAATTCCCGGGGCCACAGTGACCCTAGTGAAATACGGTAAACTCTGCGTCGCAACCCCACCCCTATGAAAATACGTGGGCTCTCGTCCTGCTACTGCAACCCATCCCACCCCACTGAAAGGCCCGACTCCCTTAGGGAAAGAACGCCACGCACCCCGCACCCCCTGCTCCCGCAGCACTCCCGGGGGAATCACGAAACCCTGGATAAATACGTAATTAAGTCGCAGAGCTCCCCCTCCTAGAAAGGGTCTGCGCAGCTCCCAGCAATTACGGTAGCGCGCCCGCAGTGACCCGCCCCCCAGGGTCCGGCACCGGCCTAGATAAATACGGTAATCTCCCGCTGCCGCCCCAGCCCCAGCCGGCCCGGGACTCACATGGCGCCGCCTCCGGGGCCCTCTGTCTCCTCCGCAGCGCCGCAGTCGCCAATGTCGCTGCAGCCGCACAGCAGCCCCGTGAGGCTGGGAGGTCTAACTCTCCAACAACCCGGCGGGCGGAAGAAGGAGGGCACTGAGCCCTGCGCCCGCCGCCCAGGGTGGGGAACTAGGTTGAGGCTGGTTCTCGGCAGGTCACCCCAAGCCCACCGGTCCCCCTCTCCCAGCCATCCCTTTCCAGGATCCCTGAGGCCCAGTTCAGCCGGCGCCTCATGCAGAGGCAGGGCTGCCCTCGCCAGGCCCACGGACCTGCCCCAGCGCCTAGAAAAGGGTCGAGGGACTGGAGGCACAAAGCAAATGCTTCCCTTGCAGGAGATTAAGGGGTGAAGGCAGCCTTTGGGGTGGGGGGTCCTGGGTGGGAGCCGGCAGTGGGAGGGGCAGCTGCCAGCTTTGCCAAAGCCTACCCTCCTGTACGTCCGCGGTGTGTGTGCCGCTAGGATGACTGCAGGGATGGAAGAAGAAATTACACCCCTGGTCCCCTCCTCCTCAGAAGTGAGCCCTCCGATATCTCATCAAAGACCCGGTATAACACCCAGGTGTGGACAGGGCTGGGCTGATTCCAGTTTCCAACTGCCATTTCATAATAATACGCCTTACTTATACATTACTTATCTTTTTACAAAGCCCTTTCCCATGTATTACCCTGTGGGAGCCTTCTAATAACCCTGGGCCGTCAAGGTTATACAGCTGTTACAGGTGTTATTATCCCAGTTTATAGATGGGAAAATAAAATCAAACTGAAGCACAGAGTGGCTCCCCCACAGCCGAGACCCAAAGCTCAGAGTGGCAGAGCACAGGTTGGAAGGCAGGCTCACCACCCAGCAGACTCTCCCCCGCCCACTCTGGTACCTGAACCCCAAAACAGAAACCTGGTGTGATGACTGGCATTAGAAGTAACGATCTCGTCCAGAGCGAGAAAAAGCCTCAGAATTTGCATGTCATAGATAAAGGAACTGAGCCCAGAAGGGAAAGTGACTTTTTAAAGTTAAAAGTGCTAGAGGGACATCGACTAGCCTTTTTCTCCGCGGCCCCTCTGTAGCTGGTCCAGGAGCAGTTGGGATTCCGCAAGGCCCAGGCAGTTGGGGTTCCGCAAGGCAGGGCTCCTCACAGCAGACAGTGATGTGGCTGGCCAGGTGGCACTGTCCCAGCCTCATGAGGTCCCCCCTGGGCCCTGAGAGCCTAGGAGCTGGAGGATTGCAGGTGGTGTCCACCTGGTGGTACAATCCATCCCTACTCCCAACACTAGGCCAGAAGGTCAGTTTTCCCAGCTTCCTCCATGGACTGTCTATCCCAGAAGGTCCCCCCGGGTCACTCTCAGCCTTTCGAGGAACCATCCGTGCTGCTCAGAGGCACCTGACTGAGGCTCGTGGGATGTCATGAGTTAGACATCCCAAGGAGATTGGTATTTCAAATAGAAGCCACAGGGAGGGGATTCTGGGCAGCCCTAAGAAATAAATCCAGCAGGACAGACGCACCCAGGGCCAAGGGTAGAGTTCCCATGGCACTGACACCCAACCAGTGACGCCAGCCCGCCCACCCTCCGCCGGGCACTGCAGCTCTGCCCGTGGGACAGACACACCTCCCAGCTCCAGCTTTGGTTGCAAAAGTTGTCACCTGCTAGAGCCACCAGCTGTCATCTCTTCTGCAGGCTACAGGAAAAATGGGGACACTTATAAATGGCCAGGTTTTCAAAAGCAAAATCAATAATATACCTGAGGATGTCGCCCATATATTTAGCAGCATTTTCTAGGTAATCTGAGCTAAAACAGAAAGGAAAGGAACGCAGCCGGGGCGGGGGAGGGGGCGACAAGATCCCCTGAAACTCATCCCATCTCAGTGGGAAAGCCGAGGGCCTCCATTCTCTGCTCTGCCACTGCCTGATTCCCACCTCGTTCCTGTGGCTTCACACACGCATCCCTCCCACGTTGCCCCCTCCGCCATTCTCACGTGCTCTGGTGAACACAATAGAATGGCGATGTGAAAACATTCTGCTTAACACAGCCATGCTTCTTCCTACAGGCGAGCCAGCAGCCAGCGTGGTGATCACCACCACTCCTCAAGACTCGTGTGACAGCCAGACTCTGGTCCCTAACAAAGGCCTGGGCTGCTCACAGCCATAGGGTCCAAAAAGACAGATGGCCCATGCCCCACCCCCTAGGGGTAGTGGAGCCCTGCACTGTGTCCCCCACCCCACCCCCCGGGGGTACACCAGATGGACAACCATCACCCATGTGCTCCCCTGGACAGCTCCAGACTGCTGCTCTCACAGATACCAGCCTGGCCATCCCCCAGCTCCTGCTCTGCCTGCATCCCCAGGGCTTTGCTCACCTGGGCAACCACTTCCCATGACCAACTCCTCCCATCTCCACGGGGTGGATGGTGATCACCGCCTCCCTCTCCAGAGCACCTTGTGCTGACTGCAGATTGGGATTCAGCACACCTTTGTTTTCCCACTCGGTTGTGAGCTTCAAAGAGCTGACTGTATAGATCGTTCCAAGCTGTGTTCCAAGCAATTTTCCGTGAAGGTCTGCGAACTCAAGGGCAGAGACTGTGGTTGCTATTGACTGGCTCGTGTCCTTCCAAATCCACATTTTGAAGCCCTGACCCCCAATGCGATGGCGTTTGGAGGCAAGGCCTTTGGGAGGCAGTTAGGTGTGGGTGAGGTCGTGAGGGTAGGCTGCTCCTGATTTTAGTGTCTCCATAAGAAGAGGAAGAGACCAGAGCACTGTCTTGGGCTCCTTCTCCCTCCCACCCCCCTACCACCACCATGTGAGGACACAGAGAAAGGTGTTGTTTGCAAGGCAGGAAACAAGCCCTCACTGGGAACCAAGCCGGCCAGCACCTCAATCTTGGACTTCCCAGCCTCCAGACTGTTATTTAAGCCCCCAGTGGGCAGCCCGAGCCTGACACAGTGGTTTATTCATCACAGCATCCCTGAAGTCTGATGCAGTGCCTGTCGCACAGGAGGCTTGATTAGTGGGTCAGCGCTTGGCCGTCCCCTGACCAGGTCAATGGGGTATGCACCTCAGTAATTCTTCACTCTGATGGACTTGGTCCCCACTGTGACCGGAAGCACCCGTTTGTGAGAGAATCCGTCACCCGGGGCCAGTGAGCAGGTATTCTCGTGAGTTTGCTCAGAGGGGAAAATCTGCAATTAGGGCTTATGAACCCCAAGTCTTACCAACACAGCTGTTTGATCTGATCACTGAACATGGGTCATTTGTGGGAAAGAACACAAACTATGGTACAAAAACTCCCCTGCCTGTCTGCAGTGTCTGCCGGCCCTGCCCCTCAGGCACCTGACCCCATGGGCCGCTGTGTTTCTGCAGGTCTGTCCGTGCAGGCAGTGGCTCTCCAACACAGGCATGGTACTCTGGGATGCCTTCCTGGAGGAGGTGGCCTTACTCGAGTTGGTCTCAGGATTTTCTAAGTGGCAGAGAGGAAGAAGCACATGACTCTTGAGACTTCCCCATAGTTGAAGTAGGTTGTGATGAGATCCAAACCTACTGGCTAGGGGGAGGAGCCAGGCAGGCATTACAGGGAGACAGGGGAACACCTAGGACTGGTTGGGTCAGAGAGGGGGCCCGGGAAAACCCTTCTGATGTGGCTTCTGGCTGGTCCTGAGAGTTGAACTCTCCGATGGCACACCCTGCCCAATCGTGAGATTTCATGCAGCGTGGTTTGTGATCAAAGACCTGGACCACAAGTCAGAGCCCTGGCTGAACATTAACCATTACCAGCATTGTGTTCCCCAGTTAAGCTGACTCATCACCTCCACAGGTCTTTTTGTGATACTCCATTAGAACCCCTAACAGATGAAAGGGATTAAACAAAACCTGGAAAGAGGGGTGACCAGAAGCCAAGGTGGACGCAGCAGCTTGTAGGGAAGGATGCACATCTCTGAGTTCAGAGACCCCCACCCCGATAGCCCCTGGGAGGCAGGTAGACAGTGTGTCCTCCTACAGAATCAGCTAGGCCCCCCCTTTTCCTCCCACCTATCTAACCCTGGCACCCCAACACCCACCCTTCTCTACAATTCCCTCCCCCCTGTGCGAAGACACAGCTCCAGGCTACACCTGGGCTGGAACCCTGGGTTTTGTTGTCAGAACCAGGGCTCCAGCTGACCCTGCTTTGGAAAAGCGTGAGGAGTGACCTTTGGGGGCTCCAGGTTAAGTGGAGTATGTGGGAAAAGATAAACTGTGTTGGAAGAGAGGAAAAGAGAACTGGGCATGGGGACTGTCTCTGCTCATGGCCAAAGCTCCCTGTCCTGGGGCAAATGGAACCCTCAGAGCACACACAGACCCAGAGATCGGGAAGAGATGCGTTAAAAAGACAATGACACCATGTGAGATCGTCAATCCTTCATTTTTCTCTTCAGCCACACTGCATGGTAAGGAGCCAAGTCAGTGACAGCCCGTCATCAGGCAGCCGGTCCTGGAGCAGGACCAGCACATTTGGCTCTTCCCTGCTGCAGGAACCTCCCTGAGCCACCAAACCTCAGCTGAGACCACCCCCTTTGTGCCCCAGCCCCTGACCATCACATACCAGTCCTAGGGTCAGGCCAGCATTAACAGCTCCCTGCACAGTGGGGCACTCGAGGTTGAGAAGGACCACAGAATCACTCACTCCTGCCCAGACTATGTATTGAATGGCCATTAAGTTCTGGGCTCTGCTCTTGGCGCTGGGAATATGCTCGCCCCTCACTAGCCAAACTTCTCGCTTTGAGCCTTGGTATCGCTCGGTCTGTGGACTCGCACTGAACAGGCCCTGGCCATCCTAAAGTGCAGCCCGAGTGCGACAGGCCCGTGCTACAGCTGAGCTGTGCAGGCCGCTTCACACCAGGGAGCCTCCCCCAGAGCCCCACAGGCCCTCACCCGGTGCCTGGGTGCCCGGGGAGGAAGTATTCAGCTGGATGCATCCGGACACATCCGGGCTCCAGGGTGAGGAATGTCTGATCCCACCTCCTCCCTCAGCCTACTGGACCTTTTGTGGTCCCACTTTGGGATCCTTCTGGAATTCTGTTCTCCGGCCCTCAGAGCCTTTTGACAGGGTCTTACCCCTAGGGTTCTAACAGCCACCATTCGGGCCATTCCCCACAGGCAGCCCGCAAACACCCCCCCGCGATCCGCTTGGGTCCGTCCAGGGGCACTACAGCGCCTCTCCCTTGACGCTGGAGGCGGGCGCCAGGGCTCCCAGGTGCACGCGCTGGTGCTTGAGCAGGTGCTGCTTCTGGCTGAAGCCGCGGCCGCAGGCGGCGCACAGGTAGGGCCGCTCGCCCGTGTGGTTGCGCCGGTGCCGCGTGAGGTTGGGCTTCTGGCTGAAGCGGCGGCCGCACTCGGGGCAGGAGTAGGGCCGCTCGCCCGTGTGGATGCGCCGGTGGATGGTGAGCGCCGACCACCAGGAGAAGCTCTTGCCGCACTCGCTGCAGATGAACTGCCGCTGCTCCCCCGGCCCCCCCAGGCTCTCCCGCGCGCCGCCCCACCGCACGTCCCCGCATCCCCCGGCCGCCGGGGGGCTGCGCGGTGGCGCCGACCGGCGCGGCGGGGCCTGGGCGCGCGGCTCGGAGCACCCGGGGCGCCGCAGCTGGGCAGTGGTGGCGCCGGCGTGCGCGCGCTGGTGGGCCCGCAGCGCCGCACGGCTGGGGCAGCTCTGGCCGCAGCTGGGGCAGCGTGCCCCCCGGGCGCCTGGCAGGTGCGTACGCTGGTGCTTGAGCAGGTGCTGCTTCTGGCGGAAGCTGCGGCCGCAGTGCGGGCAGGGGTGCGGGCGCTCGCCCGTGTGGTTGCGCAGGTGCCGCGTGAGGTTGGGCTTCTGGCTGAAGCGGCGGCCGCACTCGGGGCAGGAGTAGGGCCGCTCGCCCGTGTGGATGCGCCGGTGGATGTTCAGCGACGACCACCACGTGAAGCTCTTGCCGCACTCGCTGCAGATGAACTGGCGCTGCTCGCCGGGCCCCGTGGCGGCGGCGGCGGGGACAGCAGGCCGGGCCCCCGCCAGGCGCCACCAGTCTTGGCAGAGCCCCAGCCAGGCCCGCTCCGGGAGCCCCCACGGCGGCCCCGGCCGCAGGCGACAGCCCCGGCAGGCCGCAGCTTCCCGGAGCAACTCGAAGAGCCCGGCGCGGGCGCCCTGGCGGTCCCGGGCGTGCGCGCGCTGGTGGACGCGGAGGCCCACCTGGTGGCGGAAGCAGCGCTGGCACTCGGGGCACGGGAAGGTGGCGGGCCGAGAGTGCGTCTTCTGGTGTTTGAGCAGGTGCTGCTTCTGGCTGAAGCGCCTGGCGCACTCGGGGCAGCAGAAGGGCCTCTCGCCCGTGTGCTGCTGCTGGTGGCGCGCCAGGTTGGGCTTCTGGCTGAAGCTCTTGCCGCAGTGGCCACACAGGTATGGCTTCTCCCCGGTGTGGGTGCGCCGGTGCGTCTTCAGGGACGACCACCAGCTGAACCTCTTCCCGCAGTCCAGGCACATGAAATGACCCTCACCGGGAGAGACGGAGGGCCTCAGGGGGCCGGGGGCTGCCCCTGGAACCGGGCCTGCCAGCCCCGCGTCCTTCTCAGTCTCCTCCAGTCCGCCCAAGGATCGGGGCTTCCCCAGGGTCTGGCATGGCGGGAGGCCCAGGGGCTGCTGGAAAATGTTTTCCTTGTCCTTCTTGGAAAGTGCGGCCAGCGGCGCCAGGGTCTGCAGCAGCCACTCTGGCTTCTCTTGCTTGACGTTCATCACCAGCCCATCTCCTACCAGGGGCAAAGGGACAGAGGACCGGGAGTCAGTCATTGCGGGGAGTGAGGGAGAAGATGTGGAGATCAGAACGCGGCAGACAAGACAGGGGAGAGAGGCGAAAGGGGGAAGAGGACCGGGGACAGGACAGAGAGTAGGGGAAGGAAGGACACACAGGAGGGGCAGGTTGGGGTCTGGAGACGGCAGAGGGAAAGATGCAAGAAGGAAAGCCAGGGGAAGCTGCTGTGCCAGGGAAACACCAGCTGCCCTCTGCCCTCCCTGGAGGCCCAGGGGACACCAATCCAGTGAGGTCTTCCCACCTGGACAGCCAGCAGAACATGGCCAAGTTCAAACGTCTTTTTTCTAAAGGTCATGTACTGGGAGCTTGCTAAGGAAGTCTGTTCCAGTCTCTCAGTGGCTGGGTGACCAAGGCCCACGTCACTGCTGGGCCCTGTCCAGGGCGGCAGCCACCGTGTGAGTGCCTCACCTGCTTGTCCTTGGCCATTCAGTACCCTCACTTTTCTTCAACAAAACCAGGCACAAGAAAGTCAGCCAGAAAGGTCTCAGCACCCAGAACAGGTGTCATTTTGTCCTCGTACTAAACCTAGTCCCCTTTACTCCTGAGAGTCCTGCACACGGGGCTGCTCAGGTCTCGAGGGGTGCTTTCGCCTGTGGCTTATGGACATCAGCCTGATGGACAAGATCTGCCACAGACACCAAGTACAGACTTCATGACTCCATTTACATGAAGTTCAAAAGCTGGCAGAACTGACCAATGAGTTAGAAGCCAGGATAAGGCCACCCTTCTAGAGGGCGCAGTGATTGGAAGGGGACAGGAGAGAGTTCTGGGTCATGGCAATGGTCTTTCTTGACCTGGGTGCAGGTTACCCCGGAGTGCTCCTGTCATTGACTTTACAGAGATCACAACCTATGCACCTCCCTGTGCTACACTTCAGTACCAAGTTTACATTCCATACAGTTGGTAAAATGAGCCCAGCTGGTGTGGCTCAGTGGTTGAGCGTCGACCCATGCACCAAGAGGTTGCTGATTCAATTCCCAGGCAAGTCACATGCCCAGGTTGTGGGCCTGATCCCCAGTGGGGGGCATGCAGGAGGCAGCCAGTCGATGTTCTCTCTCATTGATGTTTCCATCTCCCTCTCCCTCTCCTTCTCCCTCTCCCTTCCTCTGTCTCTCTATCAATAAAGAAAAAAATATTGTTGTTTTTTTATTTTTTATTTTATTATTATTTTTTTTAATCCTCACCCAAGGACATTTTTCCATTTTTTGTTCAGGTAGAGTGGGAGGGAGAGAGAGGAATGGAGAGAGAGAGAGAAACATCGACGTGAAAGGGACACATCGAGTGGCTGCCACCCACACGACCCAGGGCCGGGGACAAACTGCAACCGAGGTACATGCCCTTAGCGGGAAACAAACCCGGGTCCCTCTGGACCGCAGGCTGACGCTCTAACCGCTGAGCCAAACTGGCCAGGGCTGTTGTTGTTTTTTTAAAGAGTCGGTAAAATGAAACAGTTGTGAACAGAGAAGGGAGGAGAAGCCCTAAAGAACAGGTTCCGATATTAACAGTGGGTGGTTTTGTGCAATGATAGAAATTAACAAAACCAATTCAAGGGTGAGTAGAAAACATGTCTGTCTAAACAGAAGAGATGAAAAGAGAGCTCAGGTTCTACCTTGAAAACGGGCAACAGGCCACTCACCTATCCGAACAGCTTCTACTAACACTTCAAGGGAAGTGACTAGGGGCGGAAGGGAAGGCGCCCACAAGCTAGCATGATCCAGTGTCCAAATAAGACAGGGGTGAGGTAGGCAGAAGAACATAGGTTTATCGTTCTTGGAAAGTAGATGCAAAGAACAAACACAAAATCATTAACACAGCAACCCCAGAAGTAGTAGAACAGCACAGCATGACCTTGCTGCATGTTCCCCAGACAAGCAGAGATGGCTCAATATCATTCATGGCATTACATTTTAAAAGGAGGAAAAGCTTATCCTATCTCAATAGGTGCAAAAGAAGTCATATAACAAAATTCAACAGCATCTCTGGAGGGAGAGATGGGAGGAGGAGGAAGGCGGGGAGGGGAAGGCAGGCAGGCTGGCTCTCAGCAAAGTAGGAACATGAAACGTTCTTAGATTGACAATGGAGCTAAACTAGAAATTGCAGCAAAGGTTATAACCAAAGACCAAAGAGTAGGAGCCCACTCGAGTTAGCAACAAGAGAATGCCACTGTCACTGCTCCTCTTCAACATGGTCCCTGAGAAACTAGTCACAGCGTATGGGGAAAAAAGAAAAATACATAAACATTAAAAAGGAATGATTGGCCCTGGCCGGTTTGGCTCAGCGGTTAGAGCGTCCGCCTGCGGTCCAGAGAGACCCGGGTTTGGTTCCCGCTAAGGGCATGTACCTCGGTTGCAGTTTGTCCCCGGCCCTGGTTGGTCGTGCGGGTGGCAGCCACTCGATGTTGTCCCTTTCACATCGATGTTTCTCTCTCTCTCTTCCTCTCTCTCCCTCCACTCTGTCTGTACAAAAAATGGAAAAATGTCCTCGGTTAAGGATTAAAAAAAAAGGAATGATTGCCCTGACCAGTGTTTCTCAGTGGTTAGAGCCCTCATTGAAGAGCTGTGGGTTCGACTTCGGGTCAAGGGCATGTACCTGGGTTGCAGGTTCAATCCCTGGCCCCAGTCGGGGTAGTGCAGAAGGAAACCAATCGATGTTCCTCTCCCTCCCTCCCTCCCTCCCTCCCTCCCTCTTTCCCCCCTTCCTCCCTTCTACTCTCTCTGAGGATCAATGGAAAAAAATATCAAGTGAGGATTAACAAAAATAAATAAATATTATAAAGGGGAAACTATCATTTGCTGATAATTATTAACCTAGTACGTGCAAGAGAACCTACTGAGAGAGTATCAGAAATAAGAGTTTCAGCAAGATTGTCAGCTACAGAAACATATGACACTTCATAAAATGGCAATAAAGCTATAAAATAACTGGTAGTAAATCTACTATATATGCAAAACTTATATAAAGAAAACTATTGCCCTGGCTGGTTGCTCAGTGGTTAGAGCATCAGCCCGTGGACCGGAGAGTCACGGGTTTGGTTCCCACTAAGGGCACGTTACCTCGACTGCAGTTTGTCCCCAGCCCCAGATGGGGTTGTGTGGGTGGCGACCACTCAATGTGTCTCTCTCACGTCAATGTTTCTCTCTCTCTCTCTCTTCCCTCCCTCCCTCCCACTCTATCTGAAGATAAGTGCAAAAATGTCCTTGGGTGAGGATAAAAAAATAAAAAAAATAAAACTATTACACTTTATTGAAGGGATAAAGAAAAAGTTCTAGATGAGAAGGAAAGATGTCCTTCACTTGAAAACAAGGTTTAAATTCAGTGTAATCCTGATGAAGTAAATTAGAAAATTTACAACTTGCATAAATCATCCAGAAAATTCTAAAAATGACAAAGGAAGATTTTGGCTTCTACAGCATTAAAAGCTAAAATACTACCGCCACACACCTAGTAGAGTGGCTAAAATCCAAAACACCGACAACACTAAAAGCAGGCAAGGACGAGGAGCAACAGGAGCTCTCATGCATTTGCTGGTGGGAATGCAGCACGGTGCAGCCACTCTGCAAGACAGCTTGGCGGTTTCTCCCCACATCAAACATCCTCTCACCATGTGACCCAACAATCGTGCAACCTGGTATTTACCCAAAGGAGGTGAAAACTTACGTCCACACAAAAACCTGCACACAGATGTTTACAGCAGCTTTATTCACAATTGTTAAAACTTAAAGGAAACCAAGACATCCCTTGGCAGGTGAATGGAGAAATAAACTGTGGCTCATCAGACAATGGAATATTACTCAGCACTAAAAAGAAATGAGGTGTCAAGCCAAGAGAAGACATGGAGGAATGTTCAAAGCACATTCCTAAGGGAAAGAAGCCAACCTGGAAAGGCTCCGTACTGTATGATTCCAACTACATGACATCTGGAAAAGATGGATGTGAGTTGCTGGGTTCCCTGAGGAGACCCTGGAGCTCAGGGACGGTGTGCGTGGATCTGGGACTTCAGTGATCACGGGGCACTTGCCCTTGGGGATCAGGTATTAACTGACACAGGAAACAGGCCTGTTCTGAAACAAAGGCACTGCTCCACAATCACCATAAAAAGGATCATTTAAAATCATTCTAAATGGTTCAGATGAAGTAGAAATGTTTTAAATGGGGAGCTATTGTTTAATGAGTACAGAGCTTCTAGGGGATAAAAAAAAATGTTCTGGAAATAGATAATGGTGGTGATTGTACAACAATGTGAATGTACTTAATGCCACTGAATTGTGATTTAAAATGGTTAAAATGGTAAATTTCATATTATGTCTATTTCACCACAATTTTTTTAAAAAGCATAAAATTAACAAAAAAAAGGGGAAAAGTGCTTAAAAGGGGTAGGCTCTCAATCATCTCAAAACTTTGGCCATCTAGAAAGAGTCACTCCCTAAGCCTGGCTAGCGGGCAGTGGGAGCCAGCAGAGACCCCAAAGTGGGCACGGAGACCCCAGAGCCAGCCTGGAGACCCCAGAGCAGGCACGGAGACCCCAGAGCCAGCCTGGAGACCCCAGAGCAGGCACGGAGACCCCAAAGCCAGCCTGGTGACCCCAGAGCAGGCACGGAGACTCCAGAGCCAACCTGGTGACCCCAGAGCCAGCCTGGTGACCCCAGAGCGGGCACAGAGACCCCAGAGCAGGCACGGAGACTCCAGAGCTGGCCTGGTGACCCCAGAGTGGGCACGGAGACTCCAGAGCTGGCCTGGTGACCCCAGAGTGGGCACGGAGACTCCAGAGCTGGCCTGGTGACCCCAGAGCCGGCATGGAGACCCCAGAGCGGGCACGGAGACCCCAGAGCCAGCCTGGTGACCCCAGAGCCAGCATAGAGACCCCAGAGCCAGCATGGAGACATGGCTACAGCCCAAGGGCGCCCCCAGGCTCTAGGCTGGTGTTTCCACCTCTGCCCTAAGAGCACAGGGCTCCACGGAAGCCGCTGGAGAGTGGAGAGGGGGCCCTGGCAGACTCCACCTTTCACGTAGGAATTAGGGTTCTGCTTCTGAGTTTTCCTGGGGGGAAAATCCTTCTGCTACAATGTCTGCAATCATCTGCCCTAGATTTTACTGCAGTTATGGTAATGTCAGCATACCCCTCTCACACTCTGTCTGTCTGTCTCTCTTTCTCTCTCTCTCTCTCTCTCACACACACACACACACATGAGTGTTCTCAGCATTCAAAGTGACAGCCTGCATGGGTGGGGGGTAGGGACAGACGGGGAAGTACTGATGTCTGCATCGGGACCCAGCGCCAGTGTGGGGTCCCTAGAGCAAGTTGCCTCCTTTCAGCTGGCTGATTTGTTTCCTTTTTTCACCCTTTTGCCTGATCCGTGTCTCTGTCTCAGGTCCGCTGCAATGATTATCAAGGGAGGGAAGGGGTCTGGAGTTGAGGGGCAACTCCCCTGGAGGAGTAGGGAGACAAAGGAACCCGCCAAAGTCACTGTGTCAGTGCCGCGGCACGGTTCCCAGGGACAGACCTACGCCCTGTCCCAGACCAGGGCCACTGTGCAGCTGGCTACCCGGGTGAAGGGCAGCCACACCCGCCAGGGCTGTGACAGAAGCCAGGCCAGAGAGCTGCTCTCGGACACCAGGGGCTGCTCCACCTCAGAAGCAGTGACTCTACGGGACACTTCCCACTCACAGCAGCACCTGCCGGGGCGACACCAAGCCTGACCGCGTTTCCTCACCACGGCCCTAAGCAGGTCTGATACGGACCGCCATCTCGGAGGGACCCCGGGACCTGTGGCCTGTTTGAACCCCTCATCCTACCCAGAGAGCTGGTTCAAGTTTGATTGGCATGTTCTAGCACTTACCAAATACCTCGCTCTCTCTCTCTTGCGCGCGCGTGTGTGTATGTGTGTGTGTGTGTGTGTGTGTGTTCCTTTGCCTGCCCAGTCATGGGGCTGCCCTTTGTCATCTTCTTAGCTCCCGCAGTCTGCCTTTGTTCCATTCTCTGACGACCTTCAATGTCCTACAACTTGACATCCTCTAAGCTGCCGTGAGGGCAGCAACTCCCTGGGCTTCGGAGGGACACACGCGGGGAGGGGCCGAGGCTGGCTGGACTCTTCCCGTCTTCTGTCTTACCTGGGCTGGCGCCAGCCGGGCCGCGCTCCATCCTGGAGGCCCCGCGTCATCAGCACGGCGCTGCGGCTCCCCCTGTGGGTGAGATGGAGCAAAGGAGACAGTCGGCCTGCAGGACAGGGACGCAGGGTCCTGCTGCCCCACAGAACGCGTTCCTTTCTCTAGAGTTTTTCTATCTACATCAGCTGAAATGTGCAGGGTTTTAAATTTTTTTTTCTTATCCTCACCCGAGGACTTTTTTTTCTCTTTTTGCACTTATCTTCAGATAGAGCAGGAGGGCAAGAGGGTGGAAGAGAGAAAGAGAGAGAGAGAGAGAGAGAGAGAGAGAGAGAAACATCAATGTGAGAGAGACACATCGACTGCCACCCACACGACCCCAACCGGGGCCAGGGACAAACTGCAACCGAGGTACGTGCCCTTAGCGGGAACCGAACCTGAGACTCTCTGGTCCGTGGGCTGATGTTCTAACTGCTGAGCCAAACCGGACAGGGCTGCAGGGTTCTTTTTAAAATGCACACATACTGGCTGGCAGGTGAAACTGGCATAATTCCCATTTTATGACGAGGAACCTGAGGTCCGAGAGGGCCACTGACATGCCCCAAGCCACATCGGTGGCTGAAGGGTGGAGCGGGGCAAGATCCCAGGCCTTCTGGCTTCCAGACCACAGCCTCGGGCCAGGCTCTCTGCAGCGGCGGGCAGGGGGCGAAGGATGCTGCACAGGAGAAACTCAGAGGAGTCAGTGGCCTGAGAGGTCTTGCAGACACCCTGGAAGGCAGAACTGTCCCTGCGAAGTCATGGCCCTCCTCTCTCTAAGTCCCCATCTCTCTCCAAACCCTCCCAGGGAGTGCCCCGTGCGAGAACACACGGCCCAGCCCGGCTACTCGGCCACCCGCCTGGGGCTCACCTTGCTGTTTAATGCTCAAGTTAGAACGTGTCCTGATGGAACACGACCCCCGGGACAGGCCATGCTGCCAGGGCAGCGTGGGCTTCGCACTGGCCGCCCCTCTGCACGGGGGCTTCTGCCGCAGGGGTCTGCATGCCCCTCACCGCTTTCAGGGGTCACTTCCTCAGAGCGGCCTTCCCTGGCTACTCTGGGTCAAGTCACAGCCTAGCTCTGCCTCACGTCCCTCCACGGCAGTTTGCACCTGCCGAGCTGCTCACTCGTCCGCTCAGAGCCCGTCAGCCAGGGGACAGGGACTCTTCGTGCCCCCGAGGAAGGCCAGGGATCCGGGAGAGCCCCCACACAGAGAACACCCGATGGCAGCGTGTGGCACTCAGAGGTGGACTGCGGGCAGCCTGGGGTTCATTCTCTCCACCCGGGTGCCATGGACGGGAACCCTGTTTCACAGGCCCGTGCCCCTTAGCCCCCACACTCTTTTTTTTAATTGTTACTCAAGGACATTTATTCATTTATCTTCAGATAGAGCAGGAGGGAGAGAGAAAGAGAAACATCGACTAGTTGCCACCCACACGACCCCAAACGGGGCCGGGGACAAGCTGCAACCGAGGTACATGCCCTTAGCAGGAACCGAACCCAGGACTCTCCAGTCCACAGGCCGATGCTCCAACTGCTGAGCCAAACTGGCCAGGGCGGCCCCCACACTCAAGAGCCCCAGCGGGTACCGCGCTCTCAGCCCAGCTCCAGCAGCTGCTGCCCAGGGGCTTTGCTAGCCGCCAGCTGGGGCTTCCTCCAGGGCACCTCGGCGCAGACAGTCACCGCAGACCCCATCTGGGCTTGCTCTCTACCTGGGGCCCTCAAGAGCCCCCTTCTGAGGGGTCCCCCCCTTCCAAGGTCTCTTTCCCAGGCTGGGAATCTCGACCTTGCCAAGAGAGGTAAAGGAGGGGGGCAGGAGATAAGGGTAAATACGAATCTAAAATATAGAAAAATATTTTTCCCTACGCAGAAAGGGAAAGCGACCCTGCCCTTTCTTTAGGAGCATTTCTTTCTTTAGTTTAAAATATGTTTTCTATTGATTTTAGAGGGAAAGGGAGAGAGAGAAACATCGGTCGGCTGCCTCCTGCACACCCCCCACTGGGATCCAGCCCAAAACCCAGGCATGTGTCCTGACCGGGAATCAAACCGGGACCTCTTGGTGCGTGGGACAACGCTCGCCCACTGAGTCACACCGGCCGGGCTCAGAGCATTCCTTTAGAAAACTTCTAATAAGAAGTTCTTCTTCTGTCCTGGCCAGTTTTGCTCAGCGGTTAGAGCATCGGCCTGCGGTCTGGAGAGACCCGGTTCGGTTCCCGCTAAGGGCACGTACTTCGGTTGCAGTTTGTCCCCGGCCCTGGTTGGTCGTGCGGGTGGCAGCCACTCGATGTGTCCCTTCACGTCGATGTTTCTCTCTCTCTCTCCCTCCCACTCTATCTGTACAAAAAATGGAAAAATATCCTCGGGTGAGGATAAAAAATAAATAAATAAATAAATAAATAAATAAATAAATAAATAAAAGAAGTTCTTCTTCTGTCTCTTTGAGATGTATGTAAATCATTTTAAAAACAAAATAAGCCTCTTGCCAGCTTTATAACCTAGGACTGTCTCTCTCAGGGACCTGGGAGCCACCACTTTGAGATGTATCAAGGGAGATGGGGCCCTGTCCCCCAGTCCCCATGGGAGGGTGGAACCCTAACCTGAGTGGACACCTGGCTCCAAGCTGCAAAACTACCTCCAGTCACTAAGACATGAGAGGTGTGGTTTTCCTCTGGGTCAGCCCTTAGCAAACACAGGTGGTTACTCCGGTTCCCAGGTGCACCCAGGAAGAACTCTGTGTGGCAAATGGCCAAGTCCCCTCACCCGAGGACGAGTGGCAGTTTCTCTGGGGACATGAGTGTGACGGGAGACGTCTGTCTCGGCAAGCTCCTGGCGGGCTGCCTGGCGTGTGCCCCTCGTGCGGGCGCGATGCGTGCTCAGTAGTGAAGAAGGCAAACCTGTCGCTTCCCTCCAACTTCTGCGAGGAGCTTTTCCGGGTGGGCAGGCGATTTTGGTGGGTTTCTTTTGGTGGTGGTGGTGGTGATGTGTGTTTTTTAAATATTTTTCTTTATTGAGTTTAGAAAGAGGAAGGGAGAGATACAAACATCAATGAGAGAGAATATGCCCCCTACTGGGCATCAGCCAGAAACCTGGGCATGTGCCCCTGATGGAAAATGGAACCAGCTACCTCTTGGTGCATAGGTCAAAGTTCAACCACTGAGCCACACCAGCCGGGCTGATTTTGTTTTTAATTCTACTTCCCCAGCAGGGTGTACTGCGTGCTCCTAGTGCGGTACATCGACACGAAAACCTGCCTGTGGTGTGGAGAAAGGGGAGTCCTGGGAAGAGGGAGGAAAGGCCACGGTAGGGGCCCTGATGGGCTGTGTCCCACACCTCTCACCAATGTCCACCTCAGGGGACCAGCGAAGAGGGAGGCCACCTAAACTCGGGGAAACTCAGACAGGGGGCTGGAGCCACAGTCCAGGTTGAAGATGGAGGGTGGGGCTTGGCCTCATTCACAAAACCCTAACACAACACGAGAGGCCCCTTGACCATCAAGTCTGTCCTCCGTGACCCACTGTGTCTTCCCAGAGGTGTTAGGACCTAAAAATCGCCTCGGGTGGCAGAAAAGCTTCAATTCTCGGTGAACAATTCGCTGAATCACCAGGCGGCCCCTCCGGCATCCCTGGGTCCGTCCGTCCGTCTCATCACACCCAGGCTCACAAGGGCGCGTGGTCCAGGTAAGACGGACGTGGACAGTAAAGGAAGGGACCCTCGTGGGCCCCAGGGGGAGAAAGAATGAGAGGGCAGGGGTAGGAGGAGAGGCACAGAGGTACTGAGCATCCCATCTGTGCTCAGGTGGGATGTCTGGAAAACGGGCCAGCGGGCCTGAGAGCCAAACCCAGCAAAGTCCCTCCTCGTGGCCACGTCTCCCCAGGTCAGCAGGCCGCCAGGTCCACCCGCCCAAGCACTGCCTTTCCATCCTTCTCTCTTATTCTGCCACCCGCCAGTCTTGCGCCACCTGAGAGATGCCCAGAGTCCATCCAGCAGGCTGCCTGGCAAAACGCCCCAGCCAGAACCCAGGAGGCAGTGCCCTCCCGGGTCTGAAGGCCGCTCGGCCCTGACCCCAGGCTCCAGTGTCCTTTCCCTGCCCACCAGCAAGTTCTGTGGAGAGCAGGACTCAGGACAGGACCCTGATCACCATCCCCTTCCCAGCCCCCGGCTCCGGGACCAACCCTCCCCACGTGGGGTCAGGCTGCAGTTGGGATGACAGCCCCTCAACCGGAAGGCCCCGGCTGGGGCAGCTGCCATGGCAACTGCCAGACCACACAAAGCGGGAATTGTGGCCTGTGGCAGGTGGTGAGGGCTGGGACAGGGAAGGTAACAAAGGAGCTTTGGTCTTAGCAGAAACTTGGGGCAGGAGGCGGGCGACGGCAGCTGGGATGGAGAAAGGCCACAGCACAGGGACGTGTCGCCTCCCCACAGCCACCCAAGCGAGACCCCTGGAACTTCTCCCCCGGCCAAGCACATCCCTCCAGACTCAGGCCCCAGATGGGAAGAAGTGGAGGTGGAGCAGGGACTGGCACATGCCCTGCACCGGGAGCTGAGACTCTGAGGGCGGCATCTCCCTGAACCCCAGCCAAAGGCCCGGCTCCTAGGCCCTGCTCAGCCATGAGCCCCCACCCAGGGCTGTCCCCACAGGAAGCCACAGGCAGGGGACGGCCAGGGGACAATCTTCCCCAGGTACCACACCACATCAAGCTGACCTTCCTCTGCCCCTCAGTCACTACCCTGTTGGAGCTGGCATGCTCCCCAGCCCTCAGCCGGGGTGACCCACCTGGCCCTCGGTGCCTTGCCCACCCGGCCCACCCTATCCTCTGCACGTGCTCTGGTCTGGCTGGCCCGCTCCCCGCCCTACTTCCTCAGTGGCCCCGGTTTCCGGCCAGCCAGCCCGCTCGCCCTCTCCTAGCTGATCCGCCAGGAGAGCTCACAGGTCAGACCCCCAGAGCACCGGGCCTGACTGTCGGGCTGTTGTCTCAGACGCTCCCCGGTGCAGGGTTCTGCTCTGCCGCAGGTACCAGGGAAGTGGAGGGGCTTCCCTGGT